TATATATATATATATTAAGAGTATTATATAACCCTACATAGGGTTTCTGAGACTAAAAATCTTTACAGAAATAGACAGACTCATCTTTCTCCTGCAAAGAGGCATGGTGGATTTGAATCGCTGATCTTGTGGTTAGTTGGCAGTTGAACAATTACATGACAGTATCACTCTCCATTCAAATCCTCCTGCCTGAAGAGCTAAATACCCACCTGTCTGCTAGTATCCTGTACCTCAGATGGGTAATTTATTCCTTATAATGGCATCTCAGGATGTACTCAGCATCTTACCAGCCATCTCCCAACTCTCCATCCCAACTCCTTTCCCTTCTTCTTTGCTTACGTTCTTCACCTCCCACCCCTCTAATGGTCTTTAAACGCTTCTAGCCCACCTGCCTGCCTCTCCTTCACTGCTACTCCGGACACTTTTCCTGCTTTCTCCGACTACCACCACATTCCAGTGACTGCCACCATAGGAAGAGCTGTAGCCTAGGCCTGGGAATCACACAGAATGTCCTGGCCAAGTAGGATGATGGCTTCAGCAAATTAGATCTGAAAGCATCTGCACCCTTCCTGCTTGGGGCAAGCACAGTAAGACAGGCAATCACAGATGGGCACTGGGACCTCTCCCCCCCTGCCTCCGTAGGACCACTTAGGCAGACATGGGAGGGACCCAGAAAGCTAGTTTTGAAAAAAACAACATTATCGGATACTTACCAGAATATTTCTGCCAGATCCTGCTTTCCCACAGGGGTTTTGGAACTCTATTACAACTATTACAACTCTGTTAAACCTATTATAACCTCATAGATGTGTATTTGGTCAGGCACTGTTGAACAGCCATTAAGCAAAGACACAGATTTATAAACGAGGCCTTTTATGTCTTTTACTGCAAGTTAGATGGCTCCTTTAACCAAAGTTATTTTGGTGGCTGGAAATAACTACCTATACACCTCATTTACCCACATGATTTAGTTTCCAAACACCACAAAGTTAGGTCAAATCAGCAGTATGTTCAAGAGGCTATGCCTGTCTTTGCTCCCCGAGTTTCTTACCACCTGTTGGCACACCTGAATTTCTCAGGGTAAGTGTGGCATAGCAGGTCTCTATTCCTCCCCATGTCATCTCCACTACCATGGAGCCCAAAGGGATTGGGGGTAGGCTGGTAATGGTGGTGATTGGGTGTTGCCTGCTTCCTATTGCTCACCTGGGTGGTGGAACCTCTCGTCATCTGCCCACCACCACCCATCATTGATGGGCTCCTTGGTTGTCCTTTGTCTGCCACTGCTCCACAGACCTGAATTACCCACTTCTTTCTCCCTCCTTCCTGCCCCCATCAACCTCCTGACACTTTCAGGCCTTACCCCGCTGCTACCTGCTTGCCTTCAACTTCACACCATACTGTCATTGCCCTGAATCCTTTATGGCTGGACCAAGATTTCACTGACATGGGAGAAGGCATTCCCTGGCTGGTAGGCTGCCATCCCTTTTGTGACCCAGTCACAGGCCAAGGTCTCTGATTTATCATTTGGGGTGACATGTGGAGAGTGCCCCAGGCCCAGCTGAGGCCCCACTTTAGGTCCAGATCATCACAGACAATGCTTGAGGTAGCTGCAATTGGTAGTGTCCCTATGTACAATAGAATGAAACACTGCTCATAACCGACCCCATCCTCATAACTATCATGTTTGAACCTACTGTTGTAGTTTTTGTGTCAATAAATCTCAGTGAGGGTTTTCTTCTTTTTTACTGACCAAGCATGACGTCCTTTATGAAGAACTGGTCTCTTCTGATAATATGTCCAAAGTATATGAGACAGAATCTTACCATCCTCTTTTTCCCCCCATCATTTTATTAGGGACTCATACAACTCTTATCACAATCCATATATACATCAATTGTATAAAGCACATCTGTACATTTATTGCCCTCATCATTCTCAAAACATTTGCTCTCCACTTACGCTCCTGACATCAGCTCCTCATTTTTACCCCCACCCACCCGGCTCCCCCATCCCTCATGAGCCCTTGATAATTTACAAATCTTTATTTTGTCATATCTTACACTGTCCGACGGCTCCCTTCACCCACCTTTCTGTTGTCTGTCCCCCAGGGAGGAGGTTATATGTAGATCCTTGCGATCGGTTCCCCCTTTCCACCCCACCCTCCCGGCTTACCATCCTCTTCTAAAGAGCACTGTAGCCACCTTTCTTCCAAGACCGATGTTTGCTCTGGCAGCATATGGTTCTTTCAATATTTTTCTCCGACACTGTGATTTAAATGCAGCACTTCCTCTCCAGTCTTCTTTAATCACTGTCCAATTTTCACGTGTAACACATATGAGACGGATGAAAATACTATGACTTGGGTCACTCAGAGGTACCTCAGTCTTCAAAGTGACATCTTTCCTCATTAAAGAGGGGTGGGGGTGGGTTTGGGGGCAGATTTGTCCAATGCAATAAATAATTTGATTCCCAACAGCTGTTTCCCTGAGTATTGATTATGTATCCAATCGAAATGAAATTCCCGACCAAGTCGAACTTTACTGTGTGTATCATGTCTACTGGGACAGTGGTAAAATATCGTTTTGTTTACAATGAGTTATAATCCACATTGATTTGATCTTCATCAGCAAGTGCAACAAGGTAGGTTCTGTCAACTGCAGGTTGTTAATGTGCCTTCCTGCAATCCTAATGCTGTATTTTTGCTCATACAATTCAGGTTCCAGTATAGAGATTCTATCAGTACATCGAAATACAAACACGACACGCTCCTTCCTAATTTTAAACCATGCAATATACCCTTGTTCTGTTCAAGTAACTGTCTCTTAGTTTATGTGTATGTTCTGCATGAGCATAATTCAGTGTTCTGGAATTCCGATTCTTCTCCCTATTATCCAGTTTGTCATGATTCACCTAGTCAAATTTCTTAGCAGTCAATAAACACAAGTAAACATGTTTCTGATATTCCCTACTTTTAGCCAAGATCTCTCAACAATGCTAGGCCTCATTCATTTTCTAGAATCTGGCTTGGATTTCTAGAAGCTTTTTTGATGTATTCCTGCAACCATTTTTTAATGATCTTCAGCAAAATTTTACTTGCATGTGATATTAATGGTATTGTTGACAATTTCCATATTGTTGGACCATTCTTCTTTTTTTCCCAGGGGAGAGCGCGAATGCAGTCCCCCACTACCACAAATTATGCAGTCAAGTTTCCCGCCTTTGGGGAACTCGCAGGGGTCAGCACAGCCGCAGTGCACTGGGTGCGCCTCCCCCGGGGAAAAACCACCTTTGTGATCATGGTGTCTCCCCTGCCAGGTGACCATTATTCTTTGGAATGGGCACACACATAGAGTGCATACAGTTGGTTGTCTTTCAAATTGCTTTGCAAAAACTACTGAGTGTTTTCAGTGCTGCATCAGTTGTTCAAACATTTTAATGGGTATTCCATCAATTCCTGTTTTTTCAATAATGTCTTCAGTGCGGCTTAGAATTTTTCCTTAACATTGCTTCTTGATCATATGCTACCTCTTGAAGTGGCTGAATGCCAACTAGTTCTTTCTGTACAATTACTCAGTGGATCCTTTTATCTTTTTTTATGATTATTACATCATCCAACACTTCCCCCATAGAAACCTTCAATACTGCAATTCAAGGTTTGAATTTTTTCTTCAGTTCTTTCTGCCTGGGGCATGCTAAGCATATTTCTCCTTTTTGATTTTCTAACTCCAGGTGTTTGAACATTTCATTACAATGCTTTGTCTACTAAGACTGCCCACAACTTGTCTGGTCATAAATGTTGAATATGTTCCGCCTTTTCTTTAGATGGTCTCTAAATTCTGGTGACATATGCACAAGGTAGAACCCTCTTAATGCTACCTAACACCATAATGTGGAAAACATTGCAGAGAATACAATAGTGTGTAGAGTACAGTCTCAGAAATGATTGTATTAACACTACTGGATAGATTTAGGACAAATTATCAAGGGAAAAAAATGTCAAACTCCAAGAAATAGAAGAAAGAACTAAGGGGCAAAGGTTATTTACAGAGGTCTAAATACAAGCATGTATCTATGTAAATATATTTATATAGGAGGGGAAATAGATCTACGTGCATATATTTATAGGTTTAGTATTAAGGGAGCAGATGGACATTGGACCTCCACTCAAGTACTTACTCAATGCAAGAACACTTTGTTCTATTAAATTGGCTTTCCATGATGCACACTTTCCCGACACGATCACTGAAGACAAATGTGTACATAAGCAAATGTGGTGAAGAAAGCTGATGGTGTCCGGCTATCAAAAGATATAGCATCTGGGGTCTTACAGGCTTGCAGGTAAACAAGTGGCCATCTAGCTCAGAAGCAACAAAGCCCACATGGAAGAAGCACACCAGCCTGTGTGACCACAAGGTGTAGAAGGGACCAGGTATCAGGCATCAAAGAACACAATATCATATCATTGTGAATGAGGGCGAGTGCAGAGTGGAGACCCACAGCCCTCCTGTAAGCATCTGGACACCCCCTTACAGAAGGGTCTCGGGGAGGAGATGAGCCAGTCAGGGTGCAGGGTATCAACTATGAAACATACAACTTTCCTCTAGTTCTTAAATGCTTCCTCCCCCTATTATCATGATCCTAATTCTACCTTACAAATCTGGCTAGACCAGAGGATGTACACTGGTACAGATAGGAACTGGAAACACAGGGAATCCAGGACAGATGATCTCTTCAGGACCAGTGGTGAGAGTGACGATACCTGAAGAGGGTGGAGGGAATGTAGGGTAGAAAGGGGGAACCGATTACAAGGATTACATCCCTGGGGGATGGACAACACAAAAGTGGGTAAAGGGAGACGTCGAACAGTGTAAGATATGACAAAATAATAATTTATAAATTATCAAGGGTTCATGAGGGAGGGGGGAACAGGAAGGGGGGGGGAATGAGGAACTGATATCAAGGGCTCAAGTAGAAAGCAAATGTTTTGAGAATGATGATGGCAATAAATGTACAAATGTGCTTGACACAATGGATGTAAGTATGGATTGTGATAAGAATTGTACAAACCCCCAATAAAATGATTTAAAAAAAAAGTCAAACCCAAGTATTCTGTATGTAATACTATATTGATTATAAAGAGGAATATAATCATCAGCATAATTACTTCAAATTCCACAAACAAAACTGGCATTTCTTTCCCAGCCATGGTATTATAAAAAATTTCCCTTATATGCTATTTCCTTTTTAAGTTTTGTTTAACTCTGTTGCTCTCTATTGAACTGCAATTCGATTACTTAAAATTAGAGCTCCAGAATCCCCCAAAGACAATGTGGTGCTTTTAGTTTATTTGTTTAGGATAAACCTTTTCTTAGCATTAAAACAAAACACCCCTAAGCTTTATGGAAACCTAAGAGAAAGGTTTTCATGAAAAATGCAAAGAAATATTATAGAAGCATATAATAATGCATCCCCTCAGGGAGGATATGTTTATGAACCTCAGAATCACTTTATGGACCAGGGTCACACTCCAGTGAATGCAGGGTGTGCTGATGAATCCTCAGAACTATCACAGGGTCTGTAGACTAACACATGAACTTTAAAGACTTGGATTCTATGTACTCTGTTTTATTCTTTCTAAAAAGAAAGCAACTTACTGCTCTTTGATTTCACTACCATCCCTTGATCTTTTCAGACTTTTTCCCTCTAGACTTTCTCTGGCTCCATACATGTCTTAACACCAGAATTTCAATTACGTTAAAAGTTTCTTTGTAGATACCAATTATCTCCCTTAACAGGGGACACCGGTGGCTCAGTGACGGACTTCCTGCCTTCCACCAGGGAGAACCAAGTTCAACCGGAGGCCACAACCCAACTGTCAGTATAGGTTTGCAGGTCGCTATGATGTCTAGCAAATTTAAGCAATGCTTCCAGAGTAAGATGCACTAGGAAGAAAGGCTTAATGACTGAATCCTGAAACACAGCCAACACAAACCCAGTGGCTCAAACTAATGGGATGTGTAAATGACCAAGGGCATAGCCCAGGAACATGCACCATGCTATTCTATTGTGTGGGGTTGCCATGAGTTGAGATAGACTCAGTGGAGGCTGGTAATAACTTTTTCCTTGTATGTAGTTCCTTTGCATTACTTTTTGCATTGGTTAGCAACAGAATTTATTTGACACTTTCTTTACTAATTTTATGAATACTTCTAAAGATCTAAACAGATAATACATTTTTGTTTTTCTTTATGCGCTGACTTCTTGTCTTCCACTTTCCCTTCAACCCCAGATACATGCTTACCATCCTTAAGCCTCCACAGGAAGGCTTTTACTTGGCTATCCTGCCCTGTATTACAAGTCACCAGAGAGTCATCGCTGACTGATGGCAACCACATTTGTTAGAGTAGAATTATGCTCCAATGGTGGCACAAATGGTTACACACTCAACTACTAGCCACGAGGTTGGCAGTATGAACCCACCTAGAGGAACTTCGGACAACAGGCCTCTTGCTTTCCTTCCAAAAGGTCACAGCCTTGAAAGCCCTCTGGAACAGTCTATTCTGCTCGCACGAGGTTGCCATGGGTTAGAACCAGCCCGATGTCAGTTAACAACAACTCTCACTACCCTCAAGCTGATTCATAGTGATCCTGTAGGAAGGAGTAAACGACCTCTTTGGGTTTCTGAGACTAAATCTTTTCAGGAGTAGATAACCGCATCTTTCTCCCGAGGAGCAATTGGTGGGTTCGAACTACTGGCCTTGTGGTTAGCAGCTCAACACGTAGTCTACTCCACCACTGGGGTGTTTCAACAAAAACAGTAACGTTTTATTACAGACAACATAACAGAAGCGTAAAGCTAGAAGGAATCATGGAAAGTTCTAGTGCACCTCCCACATATCAGTCTGATATTCAACAGTGATAAAACAAACCTGTGAAGCCAGATACAGTAACCCAGTTTTTTAATCCACCAGCATGACTGTGTATACACATAGTACTTACTTGTACTCGTCATAGACTTCCTGTTTGGGCAGGGACGTCTCCGGATGTTCCTCTAAGGTATTCCGAATCCAGGAAAAGGCATGCATTTGTTGTGCCCGACTGGATGACATGGCATTCTGATCACTAATCATAAAATGAAAGCACGTTTTAGCTGAACTAGATAGTTCATTGAAAAATTCTCCAATAAAGCAAAAGAAAAGCTCCCGAAATATGTGCAAACAAGTTATAAATGATCAAGTCAAACTTGGGGCATTTAGTTAGTCTAGCTAGCTACATAAAAATTGTTCTCTTCTGGTTGCGAGGCATGTTCTACAGCTTGCTTGCAACTCTTTCCTGCCCTGGTTCCATTCCTCTGTTCCATGGTTAGCCAAAATATCCTTCAAATGGGTATTTTCTCACATCCGTGCCTGTTATTTTGCCTGAACTTACTAAGTTATTAAACTTTTAAAATGATGGAAAAGATGATTATTTTCTATTTAATCAGCACACTCAGAGAATATACAGAGAGAGTAATTCCTAGTAGGGCACCAGATGCTCCTGAAGGGAATTCATGGAAGACAGATCTTTTTGTTTTAAAATACTTTTACTGGGGGCGCTTACATCTCTTATCACAATCCATACATACATCAATTGTGTCAAGCACATTTGTACATTCATTGCCTTCATCATTCTCAAAGCATTTACTCTCCACTTAAGCCCCCAGCATTAGGTCCTCATTTTCCCCCTCCCTCATGAGCCCTTGATAATTTATAAATTATTATTTTGTCATATCTTGCCCCATCCGACGTCTCCCTTCACCCATGTAAAACAGATCTTGATGAGAAAAATTTCCCCCTTCTCTCCTTCTGTCCACTGGGAACCTTGTCCTAGGTCAATACTTCAGCCCAGTAACTGATTCATATAGCAATAAAAGTAGCTTTGCTGATGTGTCTACAAAGTCAATAAGCAAACCTTCCATTGAGAAATTAACACTTAAAGGAGTCCCATGAAAAGATACCTAGAGAGCATGAGGGAAGCTGCACTATCATTTCTGACATTCATCTCAGTTAACTGTGAAAATAATTTATCTAGTTCCAAAAAACTACCAAGGCAGTTTCCAGGACATGCAATTATTTGAATAGTTATAAAACTTGGTCTTTTTATACACAAACTTTAAATTAATAGAATGTTAGGGATAATATATAAATTATGAGTAATATTTAAAAGGGTAAGGAAACTCCGTATCTTCTGGAAGAGAGATTCAAATGCATTTAATAATGAAAACATTCTAACTCCAGCCATTAAAATACCTTGTTTATATGAATCAATGTTCTTTATAAAGAAAATCTCACCACCACCTTCCTCTCCCAATTTTAAAATGGTCACACTATATTCTTCAGAATTCTCATCTACTTATTTTGTTGGTTTCTGTTCAATTTTCAAAATATCACAAATTGTGTACATATATCCATGTCTATAAAATATAACCCAAACTTCATTTCACAGCATTTACTCAGGTACAAAAATGTAAACTACAAGTAAATATGAAAATAAAGGCTATAAACATCTCCTGTTTGCCATTTTGTCTTCCGATGTTTCCGAAGATAATGTGAGGCAGCGGCAACCACATCACACACCCAAATGTCCTTATGGGCACCCTGTAAACGCTGCCATTATGGTAAAGACACAAATAAATTACCTTTTCTCTCCATTGCTGAGACCAGAAGGCAGTTGAAGGTAGAGGTAGAGTTTCTCTATGTCTGTAAACTTCTCAACTTCTTGCTATTACAAAGAATTAAAAAAGAAAGATCATTTTTTTAAGAGCCTGTCTTAGCCCCAATAAAATTCATGAATAACTCTCTAAAAATACTGTTTAAATTTGAACTAGATTAAATGACTCACTCTGCCAAAAAGCCCAAAATCTGTTTGTTTTTCCCCTCACCACTAAAAGAATAGTTAAATTGAATTGTTAGTAAGGAGAAATGGTGCTGTGTTGTTAATTCTTATGTTTTTAGTATAATCATAGATTAACACAGACGAAGGCTTCTCATTTTCATCACATTTGATGAAGGAGGGTTATATAGCATTTCAAGAATAACACTGGGACCGGGAGCCAATAGATATATTTATTATTTATTTTTAAACTAATCACTAACTGGCTCTGAAACTTCAGTGGTCTGGCAAATTTTCCCTACAACCTTAAAATGAAGAAGAGGATTTCTAGGATCCGTTACTAGTTCTTAAATATTACAACATATGACTTATGACTATTGTCACCTGTGAATGGAGCTGAAATGACAAATACTGAAGTATACAACCAACCACCTTTTCTTTGGAATTATTCTTTGACTTGCAGAAATGGCTAGAACCAACTTTTAAAATTCTGTATTCTATGGTTTCTGTAATTATGTAATTTTGTTTTTAAATGCATTCTTTAAAGTAATTTGTGTTTCTCTTTTTAGCTTTCTTTTCCAGCTGAGTTTGCTATAGAACATTTCAAATATGCTACAAATCCTATTACAATAAAAATATTCAAAGTAAAATTTTGGTGGCCTAATTTGAGTAATTACAACTTATCTGTCTGTTTATCATACGGTAGTAGTGTGTAGCTGTGAAACTATTGAGGTTTCACTGGTATTTCACATACAAACAGGGTTGCCCAAAGTGAACAAGTTTCAACGGAGCTCCCAGACTAAGAAGAAAGAATAGACTGTCCACGTCAGAGGAATTAGCCACGTTGAAACACTGTTAATTACTGGAAACCTAATGAACAGAAGTAGAACAACACTGCCAGAGATGGTGTCAGAGATGTGCCCCTCAGGACGGCAGGTGACTGAAGAAGAGCTGCCTTCTCAATGTGCTGACCACAATGACGTGGATGTGTAAGCTTGTGGGAGTAACGCCTTCAGAACCTTCATTCGCTGATGGGGCACAACTCAAGATGAAAAGAAACAGCTGCAAACACCAATGAAGAGGACCCAAAGCCTCAAAATTATCAATCGGTACCATCATGATAAATGGAGAGATTTAAATGGTCAGGGATTTCATCTTGCTTGGATTCACAAGCAACATCTCACGAAAGCAGCGATCAGAGATTAAGCGACATACTGCATTGGGTAAATCTGCTGCACAAGATCTCCTCTTTAAAGTGCTGAAAAGGGTGTTGCTCTGATCATTAAGGTGTGCAGGACATAAGGCATGGTATTTTCAAAGGAAATATGCACATGGAAGTTGGACACTGTATAAGGAAGACTGAAGAAAAACTGATGCACTTGAATTATAATTTTGGTGAAGAATATTGAAAGTACCACAGAACGCCAAATGTATCAACTTAATCTGTCTTGGGAAAAGTACAACTAGAATACTCATTAGAGACAAGGATGGTGAGACTTCATCTTACGTATTTTGGACATGTTGTCAGGAGAGAACAGTCCCTGGAAAAGGACATCAAGCTTTGGCAAATGGAGGCTTGGTGAAAGAGAGGAAGTCCCTCAATGAGATGGATTGGCACAGTGGCTTCAGCAATGGTCTCAAACATAAAACCCTGTGGCGGGGCAGGACTGGGCAGTATCTCATTCCGTTACACACAGGGTCACTATGCGTTGGAACCAACTCACTGGCACCTAACTACAATCTGAATAAAGCTCCATTGCAAATAAAAATATAAACAGATATTGACATCCTGCTGGCAGAATTTATTAGTATATAATAAAACAGCTTAAACAAATCCAGTAAAAAAAAGCTTAAAATATTAGTCTATTCTTACTTGTATGAAAATTCATCCATAAAATATTTAATCTATTATAATCCAAATCTACATTTAAAAATATCACGTTCTATATTTTCCCATTAGTTCTGTCTCAAATATTAGCTAGGAGATTTACCCAGCTATTCCCTGTGTTGCTCAAAGAACAAGGCGGACATTTATGTCTTAATTGTAACTTTTCATATCTTTCCTATGGTTCCTGAGCATTCAGTTTGAGTATGCCTTCCTTGTACATTCAATACAATTCTTTTATTGAACTCTCAAAATCTCCCATATTCTCAAAGTCTCTTTATTTTCACTGCCACCACATTAGTCTAGGCATTTTGTCATCTTTCTTTCAACCATGAAGGAGAATTACTCATTGTGATGGTTAAACTTTGTGTCAATGTGGCTGGGCCAAGGTTCTCAGTTTTTTGGCAGTTATCCCTTAGGGAGGGGTCTAACACAATGCAATCAACTTTATGAAGGGATCGAATATGATGTTATCAACTCTATGAGCAGCCAGCAGCTGTGGTAGGTGGAGCCCCCTTGATTAGGCCTTGATGAAAGTGGGAGACCACTGGCGCTGTGGCTTGCTTCTGCTGGATCTGAAACCTGACCTGATTTGTTGACCTCCTTCCTTCTGCTATATTGCCTATAATGCCAAGAGCCATCAATGGGTTGCCAAGCATGCATTCATTAGACTTTGCGTCTACCGGCCCATGGTCTTCCTACTTCCTGGTTCACTAGCTCCTACAGCTACAAGAGTCAGGAGAAGTCTTATAGCTGGTATAGATAGGAACTGGAAACACAGGAAATCAGGACCAGTGGTGTGAGTGGTGATACTGGGAGCATAGAGGGAGAGTGGGTTGGAAAAGGGGAACCGATTACAAGGATCTACATGTGATCTCTTCCCTGGGGGACGGACAACAGAAAAGTGGGTGAAGGGAGATGTCAGACAGGGCAAGATATGACAAAATAATAATTTATAAATTATCAAGGGCTCATGAGGAAAGGGGAAGTGGGGAGGGAGGGGGGAAAAAGAGGACCTGATGTCAGGGGCTTAAGTGGAGAGCAAATGTTTTGAGAATATTGAGGGCAATGAATGTACAAATATGCTTTATACAATTGATGTATGTATGGATTGTGATAAGAGTTGTATGAGCCCCTAATAAAACGATTAAAAAATAAATAAAATAAACTTAAAAAAAGAAAAAAGAGTCAGAAGTCTTCTGACTCCTGGACTTGGATTGGACTTAGTCCATTCCACAACTGTATGAGCCCTTTCTTGATACAAATATCTTTCTATATACCTATACATATCAGTATCACTGGTTTTGCTTCAATTTTCAATTGTTTTTTTTCATATTACTGGGTAACAATAAATTCACCCATGACTTCTTGACCATAAATTATACCTTTATTATACAAATGTAATTAAAAAAACATTTTCAGACTACTTGTTCAGAAAGAAAGTGAATGAGGCTGAAATTTACTTCAAAAAATTTCAGAAGACATGTGCAAATTAAAATGTAGGGAGTATGAAAAAAAGGCTCCTCCATATCATCAAAAAAGCTTTCATTCATGTATTTTATCATAGTATTTAACATTCTGAAATTTCAAATTAACTAAAAAGCATAAGATATTTATGTTTATCAAATGCATCTGGGGTATAAATATGCTGAGCAGTACTAGGTCAAAATAAAAGTTCAACTCTAATGCAAATTATCATCTACATCTTGGTAGTTGGATAGTTTTACGTCCTCTTCAATTTTCATAAAAGTGTAAAGGGGGGGGGGAGTCCAACCTCCCAATCAGGTCACACCTTGTGCTTCCTGGGGAGTGTGGCCTTCTGATAATTGGGAAAAGTGGGAACTCCCTCTTTCTCTCTGCAACTTCACCTTACTGCTTGCTAAAACTCTTGACACCTACCCTGAGAACTGTTGGCACCTTGCCATGTCTTTAACTTTGAATCCACCCAATTCTGCACCCACCAGCCTATGATCCTCCTGATTCCCAGTTCACCATTCTGTGGCACCAGCATGCAGCCTAGTGCATAACCCACTTATGCCAACAAGGCTCCTATGAGAAGATATTACTATCATATGAATGACTGCCTGTTGAAATATACAATTGCTTGTAATTTGGTTGCTGGCAAAAAAGAGCACATACAGGGGGATAAAAAAACAACAACAACAAACAAAAACACCCCTGCCCCCCCCCCCAAAAAAAGCTATATATTTAATTTTTAGAAATCAACTTTATCACCCTCAACGTACTCTCCATTACACTTAATACATCTGTCAAATCTGCGAATCATTCTTGGAAATATTTTTCAAACTCATCTGTTTGGAGGGCTGACAGCACCTCCCTCAGTTTTTTCTTCACTTCTTCTACGTCATCAAATTGCTGTCCTTTTTTTTTCATGTCCCTGTTCATTTGCAGAAAAAAAAAGTCCCAGGAGCGAAGTCAGGTAAGGTGCATGGGGCAACAGAGGCATGCTGTTTTTGCCAAAACCTGGCGCACTGAGATGGCTGCATGAGCGGGTGCATTGCCATGGTGGCAAAACCAGCCCCCATCTGCCACGAATCAGGCCTTTTTGGTCACACACTGTTATACAATCTTTTCAGAACCTCTAAATAGAAAGCTTGATTAACAATCTATTGGAATGAACTCCAAATGCACTATCCCCCTCCCATCAAAAAAACAAATTAACATAATCTCGATCTTTGATTTCAGTTGACGAGCTCTTCTCAGGTGAGGTGACGATGGCTTCTTCCACTGGCTTGTTTGATGTCTGCTTTCAGAGCTGTAAAAATAGCACCATGTCTCATCACCAATAATGACCCTGGAAAAAAATCGTGGGTCACTTCAGAGCTAATCTTTCAAAGCATCGCATGTTTCCACTTGACACTCTCTTTCCTGGTCAATCAGAAACCGAGACATACATTTCACAGTGACCCTCCTCATTTCCAATTCTTCTGTTATAATTCGCTGAACCAAGCTCCAATCTAATCCAGATAACTTCCCCATCTCT